AGAGAAGAAGGACGAGAAAGAGAAGAAGGAGGAGACGGAGGAGATGGAGGAGAAGGAGGAGAAATTTGAAAAGGTAGAGAAGGAGGAGAAGGAAGAAACGGAGGAAAAGGAGGAAGAATAATTTTGTTTTCCCGTCACTGATTTGAAGAGTAAAATATTTCAGGACAAGTTATAATAATTATACTAAAGGAAACAAGATCATGAAATAATATGAAATAAGTAAAATTTGAAATTTTGAATGGAAAAAGTTAAAGACAAAACGATGAGTTAAAGAATAGAAAAATAATAAGAGAACTAGATAATAGATAAAGGAAAATAACAAGCAATTGCAGGGAAGAGTAATAAATAGCGGGGAAATGGATTAACCTGAACAAAAGGGTAGCTGTAGCCACTAAATAAATGAATATTAGGATGTATGATGGGAATTTAGTATGACTGGTCGTATTTATGGAAAGGAAGGGGGGGAGGGGTATGAGGATGCAACAAAGGGGGGGGGGGCACTGTGTTAATATGTGAATATCCTGTAAACAGTGGGAGGGTCAACCCTAAACCTGAACCGCCAGTTTAAACATTTATTATTGATTATGGATTAAATTTTAATCAACAGTTTCTATCTGTTTATCTATCTATTAGTTCCCACAGACTAACTACTCACAACATCTCATTATAATATTTACAGTGAGAACCAATAAACAGCGGCATCATCAAAGCCTTCGATTTTTTTCAGTAACGGAGAAAAATTCACCAATTACATAATGGTTAAAATGAATTTTTACCTAAATAGGAGAAATTAGGGATAGAGGGGGTGGGGGTAAACTGAAAATCTAACTGATAGGTAGAAGGGTAACTAGCAGATTATAAAAAAACAGAGATTTGCACCACTATGGTTTCAGTGTTTAACCTTGGTTTCACCTCACCAAGTCAATTTAACTTTTTTTAGCATTAGACCTAAACATTTCAAAACTGTATTGGGCTTGGTTCTAGCTTCAATTTTTAAGCAGTATTTGGCAAACAATTTGTATGTTCTACTATTCAAAACAAGAGATAAATAAAAATTTCATACTGTTTTAATTACAGTGTACAGACAAATTTCCACATTTTTTAGTAAACTTAGAATATTTTGCCTCAACTCCAGACGTTAGGCCGGTCATTTATAACTATTGGGAATAGAAAAACTATAAATAAATAAACGGACCCTTGTGGAACGCCTCAATTAGATTCATTAAAATTAATTGATTCAGCCCATTTTATACTGGCAATTTGTCGTCGTCCTTTCAAATAATTTAATTAATTAAAACATAAATTTAGTAAAAAAATAAGTTTATACATGACTTTATATATGACACAATGAGGTTTAGTCCCAGGGTAAATATTTTAAGGTTTCAGTGTTTTATTTCTGATTCTACTTTTTGGATTGGTAAATCCTAACGGGTTTCTTTACTTTTCCACAAACTACAGTGGGATAGGACACCATAGTTTCAGTAGAAGTAAATATTTCCATTTACTTTTATAGCGTCTGTTTACTGTTATAGGATTCATAACTCTGATTGGATAATGAGATAGATAGAAAGATAGATGTTACCGCCATACTATTTCTATTGGTTCAGAATAGACAACAAACACATGACTAAACCCTGAATGGATCAGGCGCTAATGGACTCGGCATACAGGAGTGAGGAGGAGAAGAAGAGAGGGGTAGAAGAGTAAGAAGAGGGGGAGTAAGAGATGAAGAGGGGGGTAGGTTTTGAAGAAGGAGGGGGGAGAAGAAAAAGCAGGAGGGGTAGAAGATGAAGAGAGGGGGGTGGGGGTTGATACGTTTAAGCAGATGATTTTGATACAGCTGTATAGATAGATACACTCAAACTTACCAGAACTATTTACAACAAAATTTAATATCAAAATCTAAATACTTGCTACGTGCCTGGGTTCATTAGTTTTTATTAATTGATTTATTCCGATCCGTTGAAACTAATCAACCCCTTCGTAGAATCATCTACTTGGTCTAGGTTCTTCCAACAAGTAATCTTCAATATACTTAAACAGTTCTCCCCCTCCCCCCTTATCCCTACACCCCTCCACCTCCCCTCCTTCGTTACCTTATGTGCCCACTTAAACCAGCTGCCTCTCATCAGATATTTGTTTATATTTCATTTATTATTCTTTAAGTTTTTCACAACAAAAATATCTTACTATTTGTCAAGTTTACATCACACCGTATCTTTATAAGCTTTTTGTAAAATCATAATTATCGTTTCTTTTTATTTTACTTTTTACTTCCTCTTGTTTTCCTAATCTTTGTTTTTGCAGTCATTGATTCTTTAATCTACTTTCTTTTCCAACCTGTTGATTTCTGTGAATGATTAGATTACAGTATTGTATGCATAGTGCTTACGGTGAACTCACTAATTACAAGGTTTCTTGTAGGAGATTTTAGAGTGGAGATCCACTCGGAGGCATGAAGAGGTATCGTTAACCGTGAACACAGAGAGAAACTAGAAACTTATCAACGGCGCGACTTCTTTTTGCTTGATTGTAATAAGATTTCAAGTTCAGGGTTAAAAATCAAATTTTCAAATGTTCTCTTTTCCCACTGAAGCTATAATATTTATTCTTTAACGTATGTTTTTAAAACGCTAAATGTCCATACAAATATTTGTATTCTACCTGAAATTAACGTTCAACCCTCTTCAAGATGGTCATTGGTCATCGATCTTTATATTTTTTTACCTGACCCTTTTAGATTGTGTTCTAAAGCGCTCGTTCAAACAAAAAAAACTCTCATCTGAGCAAACAGAAATAGCAAAATTTCTAACAAAGTACATGTTCCAGATTTAAAGTTCTTATCAAATCAATCCTTGTTCTGGTGTCAATCTTTCTTCTGTTTTTATCAATCGTCATTATGTTCTCATCAGTCTTAATTCTATTTTTATCAGGCCTAGATTATTCTGTTCTCACAAGCCCTATTATATTCTTAACGGTACTTATAACTCTGTTCTCATCAGTCCTTACTCTGTTCTCAATATTCCTACCTCTGTTCTAATCAGTCCTAACTCTATTATCATCAGTTCTGACTCTGATCTCATCAGTCCTAACTCTGTTCTCATCAGTCTTAATTCTGTTGTCATCAGTCCTTACTCTGTTCTTATCAGTCCTAACTCTGTTCTCATCAGTCCTAACTCTGTTCTCATCAGTCTTAACTTTTTTCTCGTCAGTTTTAACTTTGTCTTATCAGTTCTAACTCTGTTTTATCAGACCTAACTCTGTTCTTAGCTAATTCTGTACTCATCAGCCCTAACTCTGTTTTCATCAGTCCTCACTCTGGTCTTATCAGTTCTAACTCTGTTCTCATCAGTCTTTACTCTATTTGTATCAGTCCTTGCTCTGTTCTTAGCAGTTCTAAATCTGTTCTTATCGGTTCTAACTCTGTTCTCATCAGTTCCAATTCTATTTTCATCAATCTAACTCTGTCCGATTCACCCCTAACTCTATTCTCATCGGTCCTAACTATGCCTTCATTAGTCGTAACTTTGTTCTCATCAGTCCTAACTCTGTTCTTGTCAATCCTAACTCTGTTCTTATCAGTCCTAACTCAGTTCTTATCAATATAAACGCTGTTCTTATTAGTTCTAGCTCTGTTCTTATCATCACTAACCCTGTTCTCATCAATCCAATTACACTGTNGTACTAACTCTATTCTCATCAGTTCTTACTCTGTTCTTATCAGTACTAACTCTATTATCATCAGTCCTAACTCTGTTCTTATCAGTACTAACTCTATGTTGTAATGTTATGTTGTAATTCTAACACATGCTATGTTTGCAAAAGAATCCAAGAAACCAAAGACGACTTTACAAAGAAAAGAATAAAAAGATTAAAAAGAGTAAAAGATGTAATCAAACATAAAGGATGTCAAAAATCAGCGCGAATTAAAAAGATGCTTAAAAATGCCCGTTTTTCATAGAACCTATATCTCTTTCACACTCCATAAAGCTTTTTTTACTTTTTTTAACATTCCAAATAAATCTAAACTAAACTAAAAGTTGTTTGTTCATCGTCGAAAAATACTAACAATCCACCACTAATTTTTATGTAAAATATAGTGTAAACAATAAATATGTAACTTTCCTTATCCTTTCCTTTCCTTTTCCTATTATTTATATTTTTATATTTTTTAGAATTGGGGGGGAAATATTCCCACAACCTCTACTTTTAGAGGTTTTTAAATATTTTCTCCTGAAACACATTTTTTTGTATGTTTTTGTTATATTTCATTAATAAATAATTTTTTACTACTTTTTACTTTACTTTACTATTCTCATCAGTCCTAACTCTGTTCTTATCAGTACTAACTCTGTTCTTAGCAGACCTAACTCAGTTCTTATCAATCCTAACTCTATTCTCATCCTTATCATCTGTTCTCATTAATAAAAACACCCTTCTCATCAGTTCTATATTTATATTTTAATATTTATTCCCTTAGGTTAAGCTTAACCTAATCCGAAATGGAATCACTGTAGGTTGCTTTTTTAGAATTACCGGAATATTTGATTAAGTTCGTTTAGATCCATAATGTAAAGTGGTAGGCGATTATAACAATACGATGATGACGACTTTTCTATTTGATTTTTTATTGTTGACAAGCTTTTCTCGAATTACAAGTTTATAAGTAATCAAGAGAAGCTTTGTAAATTCAAAGCTTCTCTTAACTTCCATGTGTATGCGTATTCATGATTAAAATCAAAATTAAAATCTAAAGCCGTCTTTATTATATTGATATAATCGCCTTGTACTGACCATCCCTCTTCTTTTTTTGAAGTGCCTGTTTTTTCCCTGATCTTGTCATGTCCATTATTTTTTATTCTCTCACAATAAACATACTTAAATGTTCTCTTTTGATTATTCTAAACTCATTTCTTGGTCTACTTCTAAACATAAGTAAATTATATTTAGAGCTGAGCATTATTCCTGTAGGTTTTGCACAAAAATAAAGATTTAAAAAATCAACACTCTTATTGTTTTATTATAATTAAACATATTTACATAATAGAATGCGCGGAATATCAACGCTTGACTAAAATAACTCAGAAATTTAAAGTTTTATAATTTTGATCTAGAGTATTCTTTGGTTTTGTTTATTTCTTCTTTTCATGGCATATCAATATAATGCAGGTGGTTACTCAGGTAGTTCTTATTGAAGATTTAATGCTTTTCTCTGCTATGGGTCTTCGTGTGGGCTCTCAAGTTGGATCTGTCTGCAAACCGTTTCCCGCATTGAGCACATCCAAAAGGTTTGTCTCCGGTGTGACTTCTCATGTGTCCTTGTAGAAGCCAGGGTCTGGAGAATCCTTTTCCACAAATATCACATTTATGTGAGAGGTTGTGGGTTAGAATATGCATTGAAAGAGCAGGAGTGCTGACATACTTCTTGTTACAAATATGACAAGATTTAGCATTTTCAGGTGTTAGAGCTTTATGGGTTTGTTTGTGTCGTGACAAGTTGGAACTTGAAGCAAAATATTTTCCACATTCTGCACATTGATACTTTGAAGGAGTTGTGTTGAATATCTTAACATCAATCTCAGGGATTGAGATGTCGGAGCAGAAGGAGGAGGCAGGAGATACAGGAGGAGAGGAGGAGGATATAAATGATGATGAGAAGGAGGAGCTGGATTGACTGGAATCTCCTGGTCTCTTAAATGATGATGAGAAGGAGGAGGAGAAGGCTTGACTAGAATCTCCTGGTCTCGGGGAAGAATGATATCTAACTTCTGCGGAAAAGTTGAAGAAAGACCCTGTTGTAAAACTAAGATCCAGCGGCACGGTCTGTTCCTCTTCATAGAATAGTTTTATCTGATTTCTGAACTCATTCATAAAGGTTAAATTAAGAACGGAATTATTTGTATTTACGTAAAAATCTTCTTCAGGACATTCTTGTTTAATAAGCTCTGATTCAGGTTTAAGTTTGACTATGGATTGACTAGCTCCGGGTACCGGATAAGCTCTCCAGGAATCCTGCATGGTTCCGTCTTTACTCCGGGAGGACTAGAACGTAACTGAGAGCACGGTAGCACGGCCTATGTGGCGCCGGTTGCACATAGCACAACGGGCTACACCTGTGTTCCACCAATGACAGCAGAGTATTTAGTCTCCAACCAATTAGAGCTGGGAAGTGAACACAGGTGGCGGCAAATATCAATTTCAAGATGCTGTATTTCTTCTAGAGAACTTGCTTGACGAATGAGAATAGGGCAGAACTACTTTATACATGTGTGTGCTAAAGCAAGGCACCCCCACCCCCTTCCATAGCAGCTAGAGGAGACTTCAGAGAAGGATTCAAAATAGGGTTCAGAATAGGACTTAGAGGAAAAGAGTTCAGATCGAGATCGAAAAAGGTTTGGGTTTGAGTGAGTTTAAAATATGGTTCAAAGTAGGTTTAGAGTAGGGTACAGAGCAGTGTTCAGAATAGAGTACAAAGTATAGTTAAATGTTGGGTTCAGAGTTAGTAGAGCAGCTCAGAGTAGGGTTCAGTGAAGCCTTTATAGTATGGTTAAGAGTATAGAGTTTAAAGTGCGCACAGCTCAAATCAAGTATAGGGTTCAGAGTAAGGTTCAGTGTGGGTGTATAGTATGGTTAATAGTAAAGTGTTAAGTAGGGTTCAGGTCAAGTAGGGTACAAAGTAGGGATCAGAGCATGGTTTTACAGTAGGTTTCAATGTAGAGATCAGAGGAGGGTTCAGTTTTGAGTTGGTTTCAAAATATGGTTCAGAGCATGGTTTAGAGTAGGGTAAACAGAGCAGTGATCAGAGTATGGTTCAAAGTGGATTTTAGAGCAGGGTTCAAAGTAGGGTTATCTGTATAGTTCAGATTCAGAGTAGACCTAAGTTTAAAGGGTTCAGAGTAGTGTTTTAAGTAGGGTTCAGAGTAGGTTGCGGAATAGATTTTAATTTGGAGTATGTTTTAGAGTAGGGTTCAGAGTAGGTCTTAAGGTAGAGCTCAGGAGTAGGGTTCAGGAACGTAGAGTTTATTTCGAGTAGTAAAGGTTAGTTTAAAGTTGTATAGGCTAAAAGTAAGGTCCATTCTAGCAGGGTTCAGGATTCAGAATATTGATTAGAGTACTTAGGCTCAAACATGTATTTAGCACATTGCCGGTTCTCATGCAGTAATGTGGTTCAGAGTATGATTAGCGAGAAATTTTATAATAGGGTTTAGGGTAAAGTGTAGGGTTTCGTACGGAGGGTTTAGGGTAAAGTGTAGGGTTTCGTACGGAGGGTTTAGGGTAAAGTGTAGGGTTTCGTACGGAGGGTTTAGGGTAAAGTGTAGGGTTAGGGTTTAGGGTAAAGTGTAGGGTTCGTACGGAGGGTTTAGGGTAAAGTGTAGGGTTTCGTACGGAGGGTTTAGGGTAAAGTGTAGGGTTCGTACGGAGGGTTTAGGGTAAAGTGTAGGGTTCGTACGGAGGGTGTAGGGTAAAGTGTAGGGTTCGTACGGAGGGTTTAGGGTAAAGTGTAGGGTTCGTACGGAGGGTTTAAGGTAAAGTGTAGGGTTCGTAGGGAGGGTTTAGGGTAAAGTGTAGGGTTCGTACGGAGGGTTTAGGGTAAAGTGTAGGTTTCGTACGGACTCCAATAAAGGCTCAGAGATTAAGTCGGGCTCAGGCAGAAGTTTATATAAAAACTCAAATTATGGGGTAAATGAAGTTTATATATTTAGAGTATGTAGGGTTTTGGTGGCTGGCCTGGGTTTAAAAAAAAGAACCATGGAAGGTTTTAATACAAGTTCTCATGAGTATGGTTGATTACAGCAAGATTTCAAATCAGGATCAGAGTTCATGGAAATTAACAGTTTAAGGTTTCGGTTTCTCCAATCTCACAGTTGACTTGACAAGAAACTGAAACCAAGAGATCACGTGCCAACAATTATATATCTTACTCTGAGATCTATTTATCTATCTATCTATCTATCTATCTATCTATCTATCTATCTATCTATCTATCTATCTATCTATCTATCTATCTATCTATCTATCTATCTAACTATCCATCTATCAATCTATCTATCTATCTATCTATCTATCTATCTATCTATCTATCTATCTATATAATTATAACCCCCTTCCTACCGTTACATCAGTTTTAGCATTTCAGTATATGAATAGCTAAATTTCGAAGCAAACATATAACCTGTGAACTTTGCTAAAGTTGAACAATTTTTGTAAAATTTTCTATGTTTGTATATTATTTGAAAATACATTAATGCATGATTTCTAAATTGCAATAAAAACATAAAAAATGAACACTAAATACAATTTTAGTTGGCCAATTATTTTAAAATTGCAATTAACGATTAAGAATTTCTGTCATTCCTGCAAATTGACAACCATAGACTTTATTAGAAAGCGTGGATTTTTACAGCAGAGACAAAAAGCAAAGATTCGTTGGATAAAGGATTAAATGTTACATAAGCGATGGATCACTTTAAATTTTCCTTAATCATTCATGTTTTACCTTAGATATTTATCACGTCGAAATTAAATAAATTTCACATTAAATTGAAACTATGCATTTTCAATTAAACTACTCATTTTGAATGGCTATTTAGAAGACCATATATGTTTTGAATTTCTTGGATGTCAAAGTCTACTACAGTCAACGAATGCATTCCTGAAAATGTTTTGATTATTTGAGTGCTGACTAATTATCTACTTGTAAATGCACAATGAATATATTCTTAGTTGAGTTTTCAATATGTATACTTTGTTTCAACAAATACGATCAAAACAAAATTATCAAACAATATATTTTTAATTGGCTCATAATAAATTTTCTTTTGTGTTTTATTTTAAGCTGAACCATCATGCATTATTATCTTATGTTTGAAAATAAATACTATGTGTATAATATATATCCATATGCAGTAGATTTCCTCATACTACGAAAGCACAAAGTCGCACTAACAACCCTGCCATACGACTTCCTCCTTCTGTCAAGTTAAGTATGAAATATTTATTGATTACGAATCATAATTATCTAAAACCTCTGATTGTATCTATATCTAGTGTCTGGGTTGTTTACTAGTTTATCTCCTGAAACTATAAGAATACTGCCTGGCAGGATAACGCAGCTTGAGTAATGATATGCATGGTAGGTTTCCTAGGTTTGACCAGATGGTTGGAATAGTCATAGAGATGCTCAAGCACCTGCTTACACCTGGAGCTGGACCATCCTCCGCACCTGCTACATCAACCAGAGGAATACAGTACCCGGAGAAACAAGATGAACCCAGTCCTTGACGAGGTTCAATATACTCGAAGATACTAGATTAAACCAGTCATCAATAAGGTTCAAGATACCCGGAGAAACAAGATGAACCTAGTCCTACCTGAGGTCCAAGATACCCGTAGAAACTAGATGAACCTAGTCCTCCATGAGGTCCAAGATACTTGGAGAAACTAGATTAAATCAGTCCAACGTGAGGTCAAAGATACCCGGAGAAGCTAGATGAAATCAGTCCAACATACACAATGTCCTTAAGATACCCGGAGAAACAAGATGAACCCAGTCCTACATGAGGATCAAGATACCCGGAGAAACTAGATAAAACCCTTCCTACATGCTTAAGGTCCATCAAGCTTGGTTTCTTTTACATATATTTAAAGTACTAGTGTTTTTATGCTTAATTATTACTGCAGAAAAATATATAGTTTGATTTGAAGATACCCAGAGAAACAAGATGACCCCAGTCCTGCATGTTGTCAAAGATACCTGGAAAAAAATTAAACGAGGCAGACCTTTAAATGGTCGAAGGCGAAGAAAGAAGATGAAAGCAAACCTGAGGTATAGGATATTGGAGATACAGACTAAAAAGAGATCTAATCGGGAAATATTATTAAACCAGATCAATATCATGATCAAGAATAATTAGAGAGAAGTAAGATGAAAACAGACTTTTGCAAGTCTTACCAAGAGGAACAAGAGCCCATGGTCAAGGATACTGGAACTGGAGAAATACGGCTAAACCAAACCTGATGGTCCAGGATACTGGAGAAATACGGTTGAAGCAAACCTGATGCTCAAGGATACTGGAGAAATACGGTTGAAACAAACTTAGCTGATGGTCCAGGATACTGGAGAAATACGGTTGAAACAAACTTAGCTGATGGTTCAGGATACTGGAGAAATACGGTTGAAGCAAACCTAGCTGATGGTCCAGGATACTGGAGAAATACTGTTGAAGCAAACCTGATGGTCCAGGATGCTGGAGAAAGACAGTTGTAGCAAACCTGATGTTTAGGATGCTTGAGAAAGACAGCTATAGCAAACCTGATGGTCCGGGATACTGGAGAAATACAGTTATAGCAAACCTGATGGTCCAGGATACTGGAGAAATACAATTATAGCAAACGTGATGGTCCAGGATACTGGAGAAAGACAGTTATAGCAAACTTGATGGTACAGGATACTGGAGAAAGACAGTTATAGCAAACCTGATGGTCCAGTATACTGGAGAAAGAAAGATATAGCAAACCTGATGGTCCAGGATACCGGAGAAAGAAAGATATAGCAAACCTGATGGTCCAGGATACTGGAGAAATACAATTATAGCAAACGTGATGGTCCAGGATACTGGAGAAAGACAGTTATAGCAAACTTGATGGTCCAGTATACTGGAGAAAGAAAGATATAGCAAACCTGATGGTCCAGGATACCGGAGAAAGAAAGATATAGCAAACCTGATGGTCCAGGATACTGGAGAAAGACAATTTTAGCAAACCTGATGGTCCAGGTTACTTGAGGCACACGATAGAACAAACATAAGAACCCTAGTAAAAAAATGTGAAACTATAAAATAAACTTGGAATTTTCTGAAAAAAATTTAATCTTAAATTCCAAGAAATAAAGTAAAGGAATAAAGACACAACCCCTAGAAAAATGCACATCTACCTTGAAATGTATGAGAGATCGACGATTAAGGATTATGATAAATAAGATGAGATGAAGTCCAGTGATCTAAGATGAGGGGAAAGGTTGAATCTATCCAAGCA